GTGGCAGTGAGTTTTCTAGGCCAGGACTTTGCCCTAATGGAGCTTACATCCTGTTGGGTGACAGCCCACCTATCTATCCACCCATAGAAACAGGGCTGACAGGGCCAGGGAATGTGCTGGGCTGTCAAGGAGTTGAGGAACAAGGGGAGTCGAGGTGAGTCACAAGGGCTGACCCAGAGTAGTAGTAGCCCCTGGGGACTTGGGGGGAGGGAGTACTGCCGAGGTTGGTAGAAGAGGCTGGTTTCCCTCTGGGCCCTCTGTGTCTGTGAATCCTTACCATGTGTACTTACATTACTGGTTGAGAGACTGGTTACTGGGTGCACAGAGACCTCAAGGCCTGAGCACAGGGCAGGCGCTGGTTGGGGATGCCCAGGCCCTGGGATGCTAGACAGATCACTCTCTCTGGTGGGACCTGTCCCGTGGCTGCACTGTGGGTGTCAGCAGCATCCCTGCCTGGCCTTATGCAGCATCACTGGGGGTGAACTCACCTCCTGAGAATCTCATAGCAGGTGATCTGGGTGGAGGTGTGGCAGCTGGTGAGTTTAGGTGAACACAGGCTCCCCCCCCCCCCCGTCTTTTTTTTGTTTGTCCCACACCCATGGTACTAGGGAAGGAACTGGGGTCTTTGTATTTTATTTAGAGACAGGGTTTCACTGAGTTGCTTAGGGCTTTCTTTCTTTTTTTTTCCCGTAGTGCTGGGGATTGAACCCAGGGCCTTATGCATGCGAGGCAAGCACTCTACCAACTGATCTATATCCCCAGCCCCCAATATCTTTATTGTATTTTATGTGGTGCTGAGGATTGAACCCAGTGCCTCACGCATGCTAGGCGAGTACTTTACCGCTGAACCACAACCCCAGCCCTGCATAGGGCCTTCTTAAGTTGCTGAGGCTGACCTCAAACTTGGGATCCTCCTACCTCAGCCTCCCGAGCCACTAGGATTAAGGTGTGAGCCACCATGCCTGGCTGCATGAGTTCTTTTTTGATATGTCTCCCATTCTGTCTGTCATCCTGTCACATGTCCCACACGCAGGTATATGAGCTGTTTCTGCGATCCCAGTACAGTAGGCTCTGCCACACAGTGGCCTTCCTGGTGCTGCCCCTCTGAGTCACATGCGCTACCCTCTGATGCCTGTGCTTTTGTGCTTGTGTCTGTGATTTTATCGTATTGAGTATGTCATGTGAGACATGGAAATTGGCTTTTTCCACTGAGCAAATGCCCTCAAGATCCACGTGAATTTCACTGAGCTCCTCTCCTGTTGAAGGACATTTGGGTGGTTTTCATGTTTTGGTTATTACAAACAAACATGCCATGCGTGTTTGTAGGTTTCTGTGTGAACATGTTGTTATCTTTTCAGGGTAGATGCCCAAGAGCGCAGTTGCCTGGTTTTATTATACCTGTATGTTTAAACTCACTTTCAGAGTGGCTGTACCATTTTATGTGCCTCCAGCAACATAGGAGAGGTATTTCTCTACATCTTCATCCATGAGCGGTGCTGTCAGACTTCTTAGCTTTACCTGTTCTCACAGGTGTATGGTGGTGTCTTGAGTTTATTACCTTATCATTGTTGTTGATATTATTATTGTATGTAGTATTGAGGATTGAACCCAGGGTTGCTCTACCCCTGTGCTTTTTTTGGGGGGGGGGGATTGAGGATTGAACTCAGGGGCACTCACTTACTGAGCCACATCCCCAGCCTTATTTTGTATTTTATTTAAAGACAGGGTCTCACAGAGTTGCTTAGTGCCTCACTTTTGCTGAGGCTGGCTTTGAACTCGTGATCTTCCTGTCTCAGCCTCCTGAACCACTGGGATTATAGTTATGTGTCACCGTTCCTAGCTGCCCTTTTTGTTTTTTATTTTAAGATAGGGTCTCACTAAGTTTCCAGGGTTGTCTTTGAACTTGTGATCCCCCTGGCTCAGCCTCCCTAGTCTCGGAGATCACGGTGTGGCCATCAAACCTGGCTGCTCTGGGATCGTGGTTTGCATTGGCTCCAGTGGCTCATGATGTTGAACATCCTTTTCTGTTTATTTCCACTTTTATGTTAGCTTAGCTTATGTGTCTGGTGAAGTCTTTTGCTTCTGTTGTAGCTGGGGTTTTGTTTTCTTTTGTCAACTTCAGAGAGCTTTTTATATCATCCGGACAAGAGTCCTTGTTGAACTATGATTTGGGAGCATCTTCTGGAAGGCAGGGGGGAGCATGTTCTTCTGTTTTAACAGGGGCTTTGGCAGAGCAGCTGCGTGTAATTGCACCCTAGATGGTGGGTGTGTTTTATAGTGGGAGCAGACAGCGTTAGTTGGTGGGTCGCGCTGGCTTCTGCTCTGTGGCCTGAGCATATGAGGGTGCTATTCATGGCTGAGGGAGCCCTGTTTCAGTCCCAGTGTTGGTGTAGGTGGAGGCTTTGGGACGGTGGAGGAGATGTGGAGGCTGGAAAGGGGGCTTGGAGGCATTTGGTTGTGTGTGGATGGAGCTCAAGATCTGAGGCCTTGGATGAGCTCCCCAGAAGTGAGCACAGAGAATGTGGAATCCAGTGTAAGCCTGGGCATTGGACTTGGGGGCCTATGAAGAAGGAAGGTCCAGTAAGAAGTGAGAAGCCCTTAGAAGGCAGGAATCTGACAGTGTGGTGTCCTGGAGCCCAAGAAGGGGCTGCTGCTTCGTCAGGTTCTGCTCTGTCCTGGTGCACCTCCCAAGGGAAAGAAAGGGAAAAGACCCCTTGGTCAGTTGAGAGGAGGGAGGGTCACCCAGTCTCTTAGGCTTCCACAGCAGAATACCAAATTGTGTAATTTTTAAGGAACAGAAATGGATTTGGCTGATTCTGCAGGGGGAGAGTACAGGAGTGCGTGCTGGCATTGGGTGAGCACCTTTCTGTTGTCATGACCTAGCAGTAGGGACTCTTGAGTACATCAGAGACAAGACAGAAATCTGGCCAGACCCCTCCTTCCCGTGGTGACAGCATTAAGTCGTCTGAAGGGCAGAGCTCATGTCCTGGTCACCTTTTAGCAGTGCTCCATGGAAGTTATGCCTCACCATGAGCCTGGAGGGCACCTTTGAATCCTGGTGGGAGAAAAGCGAGTACTGCCCTTCTTAATCCAAGCAGAGATGTCACCTTGAAGATGTCATTGGGAGTAGAAGGGACCTGTGACCTCTGGTGCTGGACCTTTCTGGTCAGTCACCCAGTAGGACGAGTGGTAGGCAAAGCTGGGCTCCACACTGGGGTGGATACTCAGAAGCTGAGCCAAGCTCCACATTTGTAGACGTACAGTAGGGTGCTGTGTAACTGGCTCAGAGCTGAGACTCAGGGGCTGTGAGAGTCTGTAGGACTGTTTTGAATCTTATTCTTGGGAGGGATCTGGCTTGCACCACTTGTCACAGGTAGGAAACTGAATTGGAGTGGAGCAGAGGGCTCAGTTGCAAGCCTGTCCCGCAATTCAAGGTCTCTAGCTCTTGTTTATTCAGTAAAGAAATAATAGGATTTTTTTTCTTTCTTTTTGGTGGTACCAGGGGATACAACACCTAGGGCATGGCAAATGCTAGGTAAGCACTTTACCGCTCTCAGCCCTTTGTACATTTTTGTTCTGTGGTAGGGTCTTGCTAAGTTTCCCAGGCTGGCCCTGAACTTGCATTCCCTTCCCTCAGCCTCCTGAGCATCCGGGATTACAGGTGTGGCTGCCACAGCTGGTTGGTTTGTCTTTCTTTGGCTGGGCTGGGGGCATGGGGGGATGTCTGTAAATTGGGGGTTGAACCCTGGAACGTGTAACCACTGAGCAACATCCCCAGCCCTTTTTTTTTTTTTGTATGTGTATTTTTATTTGAGACAGGGTCTCACTAAGTTGCTTAAGGTCTTGCTAAATTGCTGAGGCTAGCCTTGAACTTGCCTAAGCCTTGTGAGCCACGGGATTATAGGCATGTACTATACCATGCTTGGCTGGTTTTTCTTTCTTAAATAAAATCATCACACAACTATTGATGACTTAGTGACCCAGATATACTTGTATGTACTTGTATGCTTATTTTAGTTTTTTTGTTATATCCACTGGTTAATTAATTTGTTTATTTGTTCATTTATTCTTTCATTCATTTATTTATTTTTTGCTGTTTCGTTATTGTTACTTACAGTGCTGGGATAGAACCCAGGGCCTTATTCATGCTAGGTAAATGTTCTACCATTGAGTTGTTTCCTCAGATCCAAGTTTTTATTTTAAATCTGCTATAAGATCTAAAACATATTTGCATACTTTTTTTTTTTTAAAGAGAGAGAGAGAATTTTTTAATATTTATTTTTTAGTTTTCGGGGGGCATAACATCTTTATTTATATGTGGTGCTGATGATTGAACCCAGCGCAGCGCGCATGACAGGTGAGCGCACTACCGCTTGAGCCACATCCCCAGCCCTTGCATACTCTTTTTAAAAATATTTTTAGTTGTAGATGGACCCAATACCTTTATTTTATTTATTTATTTTTATGTGGCCCTGGAGGATTGAATCCAGTCCCTCAAATGTGTTAGGCAAGTCCTCTACCCCTGAGCTGTAACCCAGCCCTGCACACTTTTTTTTTTTTTTTTTTTTGGTACTAGGGATTGAACCCAGGGGCACTCAACCACCAAGCCACATCTCCAGCGCTTTTTTATATTCTATTTAGAGACAGGGTCTCGCTGAGTTGCTTAATGCCTCAGTAAATTGCTGAGGCTGGCTTTGAACTCTCAATCCTCTTGCCTCAGCCTCCCAAGCAGCTGGGATTACAAGCATGCACCACCACATCTGGCTGCACACTTATTTTTAAAGAGCAGTGCATACTAAGTTTTTCAGGCCTACACTTTTAATTGTCCCATTTGGCTGATACCACTGGTGTCTCAAGAAATACCTCACTTGCTTAAGAGATGCATAAACATGGTGAGCTTCAAAGTGGGGAGGTGTGTGTCCTTGCCTGCAGTGTTTTTGGGATGCTCATGGACTCTGGTGGGAGCAGACAGGCACTGACCATTGACCTTTCTTTTCCAGGTGCACATTCAGGTTTCCGAGCACAAACATCAAGATAACGTTCACAGCCCTGTCCAGCGAAAAAAGGGAGAAGCAGGAGGCTCCCGAGTCCCCGGTGAAGCCTGTGCAGCCACATATCTCGCCCCTGACCATCAACATTCCAGACACCATGGCCCACCTCATCAGCCCCCTCCCTTCCCCCACGGGCACCATCAGGTAGGGCAGGGACTGGTGGGTGGGTGCTTGTGGGTCCCAGCATGACATCTCCCTTCCCTGCAGGTGACTTAAGCAGAGAAGGATATTCTGAGGGTTTTTAAAATAGTTGAGTTTTAGGACAGTGCTTTCAGTTTCTGCATTATAAAAATGCAATTCCCACATGTCCCTTATTTTTACTTATGGATTCTTTTTTTTTAAAATTTTTTAGTTGTTGATAGAACTTTTTTAATTTTTAGTTGGATTTGTGGTATTGGTGTAAAGTTCAGGGTTTAATCTGAATGTTTAGTTTCCTAGTTTGTTACGGTTTCATATATTCTGAAAGCTTGTACTTTGATTTTGGCCATGTTGAGGTAACCAGGTGTGTTCATTGTGAAGTTCTGAGAGACTGGGCCCCCTCAGCTGCAGAGGATAGCGCTCTTAAGCACGGCCATGCTGGCTTTCACAGGCAGAACCTGTGACTAGTGCAATGCTGTTAGCTTCATGCAGAGCGTGCAGAGGGGACTGACTGAGGACTGTCTTTGTGCTGCTCTTGGAGCATGTTAGGTTGTAGCGCATCGTGTGCGTGAGACTGGGCCAGGCAGCTCAGGAGGCTGAGGCAGGAGGATCAAAGTTCAAGGCCAGCTTCAGCAGCTTAGAGAGACCCTGTCTCAAAATAAAATTAAAAGCACCTCTAGGTTCAGTCCCCAGGAGGGGAAAGAAAGAAGGGAACAGAAAAGGCGATCTACAGAATGGGAGAAATACATGCAAATTATATCTGATAAGAGGTTAATAGCCATAATAATATAAAGAACCCTGTTGAAAAGTTGACCAAAGGATTTCTCAAGAAGACACACTGATGTCAGTGAGTGCACTGGAAGACAGTCAGTACCACTCATCAGCAGATGTGCAAGTCACAGCTGCGGCCAGACCCTTATGCCCAGGCCACTGTCCAGGGGCAGCACTGTGGCCTGAAGGCACTGCCTTCTCTTTCCACCTTGTGGGACCTCTTCATGACCAAATGAACTAATTGGAACTGTGTGGCAGGTAGGCCGAAGCCCCCGAGCCTGCTGCTGAGCACTGTGGTGGGAACAGTGGTTCTGAAGGCCGCAGGCCGCAGGTTATGGCAAGCTGGACGGCAGCCTTGGATCTGAAGTCAGTCCTGATTCGGCTCTCTCAGTCCCTCCCATCGTCATTGTGTCCCTTGCTTGTCCTGGCACATCCTGCACATTTGCGCTTCCTCAGCTAAGCCCTTGGTGGCTCTTCAGCTCCTGCACCTGCACTCCTAAAGGGGCCTGGTCTTGAGACTGTAGTGTACGTACCAGGGGAACAGGCTTCCTCTTCCTGCTCCCTTGTCAGACTTCCTGACAGGGTAGTCCTGACATTCAGTAAAGAATGTTTAATGGGTAGGCACATGTGCTGGGCACCCACAGAACTTTGAGGTGCCACCAAAGTGTGGCAACAAGACCCTCCCTGTTCCTTCTCCCTTTTTTCTGCCTTTTCTGGATCTTCTTTTCCAGTGTTTCTCAAAGTGAGTGTTAGGTTTCTTGGTTAATTTTTCCCAGAAATCTAAATGGTTGCAATGTTTGTCTTTTTCCCCAAACACCTCTGTAACTGAAGGGTTTTGGGGAGAGCCATCTTGGCATCATGCCATTTCAGCAGCTCATTCTTTTCACATAATGTAAGTGGTAACTGCAGAATGAGCATGGCCCAAAGGCACTGCTGCTTCTCGACTGTCCCAGCGCACACAGCCTGTGGTCAGCATGGAGCCCAGGCTTGGGTCCCACCACCCACCTTGTGGGGAAAGTGCCATGTGCTCTTGCTGGTCAGCCCATATTCTGGACTAGCTGGGCTGTGGCCCTGCCCTTAACAGTGTTATCTGTTGTGCCCTACTTTAATTCACCATGTACTCTGTGTCCCTAGACCCACCATGTGTCATTTGGGTTCTTGGTAAGTTCTAGAAGAGCCTCAGTTTCTTCACTGGTGAAGATTGGGCCACTGCCCCCAGAGAATTTGTCTTAGAGCTTCACAGGATGACAACACAGAATATCCATGTTGCTTCTTGAGTGATCTAAGTTGCACAAAGAATTGTTGATTCTGATACAGAGGTTTCTCTCAATTCTCAAAAGTTTTTGTGTTTTTCTTTCCCTGACCTCAGAGCCAGCTATTTATTTATTTATTTGTTTGTTTGTTTGTTTATTTATTTATTTATTGGGTACTGGGGATTCAAATCAAGGGCACTCAACCACTGAGCCACATCCCCAGACCTATTTTGTATTTTATTCACAGACAGGGTCTCACTGAGTTGCTTAGTGCTAGCCTCCCAAGCCACTGGGATTGTAGGCGTGCACCACTGTGCCCAGCTTAGAGCCACTTATTGAAGCATAGCATATGTACTCTTTCGTAGGCTAAAGGAATCTTTTCTCTTCCACAGTGCTGCAAACTCCTGCCCATCTAGTCCCCGGGGAGCCGGGTCTTCAGGGTACAAAATGGGCCGTGTGATACCATCTGACCTCAACTTAATGGCTGACAACTCACAGCCAGAAAATGAAAAGGAAGCCTCAGGTGGAGACAGTCCAAAGGTAAGTGTCTTGTAGCCCATCTTGCAGCTGGGCCGGGGGGGTGGGGTGGGTGGGGGGGCATTGTGTACCACTGTCCTGAGCGTGGCTCATGGTGCAGTGATGCGGGCTGATTCTGTGAGCGATTCTCAGTGTTGGCTGAGGCTCTGTCATTGGCATCTGAGGTCCTGGTGCTCACAGCTCATAGCGCAGTGCTTTAAGAGGCGGGTGGCATTCTAGCTGAGGCAGGCTCACAGACAGCCTGGGAGGGTGCATCTGTCCCTATGTGGACAACGCAGTTGATGACCACACTGTGACCCTGCGTGTTTTTATCCTTCAAAGATTTGTCTAAAGGAAAGAGACAGAAGTTGGTATAAAACAGAAAATTGAAACCACAATGAATGCCCTAGGGGAACAGTGACTAAGATCTGGTGGCCCAGTCAGAGGCATGTGAAATATTTATCAATGGGGACGTGCTTTTGATGTAGAGCTAGGTGAAGAATACAGTACAGACTGCATGGTGATGCTTCACGTACGCATCTGTACCATGTGCTGTGTTTGTGTGGAGGGACGTGGCACAGCCCTGGGCGTGAGTGAACCACAGCTGTGTACAAAGTGCACACAACAGCCTTCTCTGGTTCGGAACTCTGCCAGCCACAGCAGAAGTGGGGTGCCAAGGAAGCCAGCTGAGTCCAGGCTTTTCCACCTCACGTGGCTATACTGGTGCTCACCCTACAAAATCTGTTTAGCCAACGTGTGTGTTGTGAACAGCATTTTCAATAAAAATGTTGACAAATGTGTCTAAGAAGCTGTCAAGGAAACACGGCAGCATAAGCAGTGACAGGTTTTGCCTTGTGTCCACACCCAGTGCTGCGAGGACTCCAACTGAGCCACTTCTCAGCTAAGGGTCCTCACTGCACCTGGCCCTCTCCAGTGTGCTCCCGTAGGAGGTCAGGCAGAGCCTGGCGAGGCCTGAGTGCTCAGGCGATGTTAGCCAGCACAAGTAAGACATGGGGGCTTTTGGATGCTGGGGTTTTGGGTGGTTTTTCTGTTTGGAGAAGGGCAGCAAGAACCCTGGTGCCCACTACCAGCTCCAGGATGCAGCCTGCCCCTTCTGAGACACCAAGTCCTGGTTTAGGTTTATCCTGAAACAGTGTCAGCTATAAACTTGGTATGAGTACTGTCATCTTGAATGTATTCTTTTGCAAACTTTTTTTTTTTTT